TGTTTTTCATCTTGTCTTTTTCTCCCTACAGCTCTTCAACATAGTTTGGGTTGGCTCCACTTGGCTTGAGGTGTGAACTGAAGAGGGGAGACCAATTAGAAGAATATTGTAGTAGAGTAATCTAGATGAGGCCTGTACTATTGATGAGGGTGGTGGTAGTGTGAGAGAAGAAGGAGAGTCATATGAGATGTGCCGTGAAGGAAGAACAGCAAGATTTGGTAAATGGTTGGTTAAGGGCTGTGGAAGAAAGGGAAGAGTCAAGGATGACTCTAAGGTTCTGAATCTGGGTCATTGAAAGGGTAGTGATACCCTCAACATAAATCAGGAAGCTTATAAGGACCTTCCTTATAAGGTGAGTTTGGGGTGGGAAACAATGAGTTCTGTTCAAGGCATAGCGAGTTTGAGATACCTATGAGATATCTGAGAACTGAAATTCAGCAGTAGTTAATGAGAAAGAGATTAGGACTGGAAATACAAATTTGGGAGTCAATTGTATAGAAATAATACTTGAACCCATGGGGGCAGATGAAGACAACAAGGGCAAGAATGTAGAGAGAGAAGTGAATAGGGCAGAGCCCGACCAGGCCCTGGAGAGCACCTAACCTAAAGAGGCAATGGATAAATGGTGATATATTTCCTCTTAGTAAAAAGTTTCTTGGAGATAAAGACTGGTTTACAAATGAATATTCATATGGAAGGCTAGGAGAATTAGTCAAACAAACAGGTCTTAAGGCAGGGTAAACTTAGACAAGTGGGCTGCGGGTAAGACTAGGTTGAACATAAGGCAAGAGGAGAACCATGTGGGCCAAGGCAGAACGAGACTGAGGTCAGGTACTTCTTATGGAAGAAGACAAGCTTGGGGGAGAAGGTATTAGTCAGGAAAACACCAAAAAAGATGGTGGGAAGTTTGGATGTATGATCAGTATGGGAGAATGGCTTTTGTACCTAAACAGGAGCTGGTAGAAAACTTTCTTCCCTAGACGGACTATAAAATCATAGATTTAGAGTTGGAAGGTATCTTAAAGTTTACTAAGCCTAGAGAAGTTAACTAATTTAGCAAAGTCACACAGATAATAAGTGATTTAGCCTAGAATCAAATCTAATTCCTCTCATGTCAAATCTAGCATTCTTTCCAAGATAGCAAGGTTTTAGAAGCTGGCATGTTATTGCACAATGAGAAAAGTAAAAGAGGAAAACTTAAGATGATTATTAATGTAATTTTAAATACCTTACAGAAAATAAATTTAGGCACACACATATTCAATATAGCAAATTATTTTATAATGTATTTTGTTTTCCTATGTTCTTATCCAAAATTATCATGATTGTAGGAATAATTTGAAGAAAAAAATAAGTTTAGATTTTTTTGTGATTAATTTAGCAGGTAAATTTTTTCTTGTCAACAAATTGAGATTTAGGACATATATTGATTTAGCAAGTTAATTTTGTTTGTTTTTTATTCTTACTATTCTTTCCGATATTAATTATAATTGTTTTGAACTTTTATAAGAATAACTGAATTAAGACGAAATTATTTTTAGAGCATAAGCATTACAAAAAGAACTATTATGAATATAAGAAATTACATGACATGTAAGTTCTGACAATCCTGGTTATTTCTACTTAGCTAAATTGACAACTACTATACCTACACAGAGTTCATACATTCCATTAAATCTAACCAAATTTGTGAATACAAAATAGCTTTAAAGGCATAGTTTTAGTAAGTATCTAATAATTTACATAAATCTGGAACAAATTTTAATGACATGTATAGCAAAATGGTCAACTTACCAACCCTAAGACAGTTCTCTATTTTATAATTCACCGATTCAAAGCATTTTTTTTCCTAAAAATATAGCATTGTAATGTGGATCTAAAAATTAGTCTATTGTACATATAGGTAAGGAAATAAAAAGTTGCTCACTCAGTCAACTTCAACTTCACTTATTTTTCCCCATGTTAAAAATTAATACAGCACAGAATCTCATTATTTGAAAGTACTTAAGGTATGTTCTTAATTCACCGATGTTGCCATTGGAATGCTGGCATGGGGTGGGTAAAGAAAAATGGGGAAGGAGCTTAGAAAGAAAAAAGTCAGGGACAAAGGTATGGTAAAATGGTTCCATGAAAACATGTTAGGCAAAACCAGGGGTAAATAGTTCCATGGAACATAACACATGGATGACTGGCCAACAAATATTATAATGATGTTGTTACAGGTTTGGGTGGAACATGGGTAAAATTATTAACAATATTAAAGCTAAACAACATTGGCTACCACAATGTTATTCAGGGCAGTCTATTGTCTAAAGACTAGGCACCAGCATATGACTTTATCTTGATATAGGTAGAGTAGTTTTCTCTTTCTCCCAAACAAGCCCTCTCCAAAAAACTTTCCCCACTTTCGTCACTGAAGACCGATTAGAAGCTAATTTCTGGGTGTTTGTGATGGAGTATGAACAAAATGAGGACAGTATTAACATAAGCATTGAAGCAATTTGTGGTATGAATCAGACGAGTTTGTGATCTAACTGTGCAAAACATAGTTCTGAGCTCCCAGTTCTGAGCACCTGGGAAGTCAAGAGACCCCGAGATTGGATAATTAGTGTCAAGGAGTGGAGCACTTATGAGTGTAAATACATTCCTCTCAATGGCTTTGACAGATAATTTTCCATTGTAGGAAGGCAGGTAGAGAACAGAAGGCTAACGGACACCTGAACCTAGGGAAAGGCCACTACTGAAAAGAAGAAATGGGCAAAAAAAAGGCAAAGAAGATGCAGGCAAGAAAAGGACATGGAAAGGAGAAGGTGAACACAGCAAATAGAAATGTTGCGACTAAACTTAACTCGAATAAGTGTTCAAATACTTGATTTAGATCGTAAATTCATGAGGGTAGGGGCTGTGCTTATTACTCAAGTCATCATCTATCAACAAACAGCATATGATTTAATAAATGCTGAATGACTCCAGTTTCTTTTTCTGTGACAACTTAAATAGAAGTTGGTTTTCAGGAAAAGAGTTGTGCTTTCAACACCGCACATTCAGCAGCCAGTCCTTAATGATTTATCCAAATGACTTAGGTCTCTCAGTATAAAAGATTGTTAAGGTGGGAAAAAAGTGAATCACAAATGATTTGGAAGTAGCCTTTTTAAACTAATGAATTTATATGCATGATTTTTTTTAACTTGGCTGCAAAACCATCCCAAAGTCACATTTACTGAAAATCTTTTGGCTGCTACAAGGCATTTTTATGCACATCACAATCTCAGGAAGTAAAAGATCTGGGGGCAAAAGTTCTGAGACTTCTCATTAGTCAAGCAAATAATTTAAAAAAGAAAAACAATGATTCTGAAAATGTGACCCAATGGACTATGAAATGTTAGCCTGATAAATCAGTGAGCAGGTCTTATGTAATTTGTAGCAGGAGACTACCTATACTTTTATTTTTGGCATAAGAAATAATGATATTCAGAATTGATGCCTTTAAAAAGCATTTAATGACATTTTAATTAACTTTGGTGAGGTTTTGTTGTTGTTAAACAATTGCTATGAAAGCCCATTTAAAAAGACTTATAACAGTCTCCCAGTTACACTACCACTGTGAATTATGGAACACAACAATGGTAGAACTAAAATAATGAATGACTCTGCAATGGAAAGATGCATGCTGGGCAATTGCAGGTTGAAGCTTGTAACTAATAACAACTTGCATATAAAAAGATTAAGGATATATATGACCTTTCACGTATTAAGAATTTAATCTAACAAACAATCCAGGTAGTATATGGCTATCCTTAGGATATTTAAGAAACACAAGAACAAGAAGGAAAGGTTTGCAGTGCATTATGGAAGCTTAATCACAAAACATGGATGATTCATGCATAGGATAACAAGATGTGCAAAGATTATGATCTGCATCAGTGTAGCAAACACCCACAATGAGAAGCTCAGTTATTATCTTAGGTATTCTAAGTAAGTCGTTGGGCAAGTACAGATGGTCTATTTATATATTGTTGTTTCTTTACTCCAGTTGAAGAAATATACAGACAGAATATATTTAAGAAACACTTCTTTAAATACCTTCCTCTTAGTTGGACTTTCAGGAAAGCTGAGTGCCACAGAATTGATACTTTTGAATTGTGGTGCTAGAGAAGACTTTTGATAGTCCCTTGGAGAGCGAGGAGATCAAATCAATCAACACTTAAAGAAATTAATTCAGGTTATTCACTGGAAGGCCAAATGCTGACACTTAAATACTTTAATTAATTTAAATACTTAAAAAATTTGGCCACATAATGAGGACAGGACTCGTTTGAAATAATCCTGATGTGGGGAAAGATTGAAGGAAAAAGGAAAAGGGGATGGCAGAGGATGAGATGGATAGTGTCATGGAAACAATGAAACATGGACACAGATAGACCTTGAGAGACAGTGCAAGATAGAAGGGCCTGGCATGCTATGGTCCCTGAGGTCATGAAGAGTCAGATATGACTGAATGACTAAACAACAACAAAATAAATTTACCCTTATCACAGAACACTCTTATAAACTACTGCCTAACCTATGCCTAATTTGTGTGATGTTTTATATAACATGATTATTTTGGGTTATTCTATTAAGAGCAAAAATTATTCTAAGTAAATTGTTTTTTAGTCATGAATATATAAGAAGACCAGTCTAGCAGCAAATTAGACTTGGAGATATATTACCTATACAAGACTCTACCCACTGGGCTTAATACCTCACTTTCATCCAAATAAAGTGTAACAGCACCAAGAAAGAAATATAAATGTGAGCCAGAAAAAAAGCAAAAACCTAAGAAGTTGTGGGAGCCTTCCCATGCACATTTCTACTCTAAAATTCAGTTACTATCTCTACGTTTCAGTTTGCTTGTGGAACTGGTGAATCAGGCACAACTTTATTTCAATGTAAGATCTATTTTACAGATTTAAAAAAACCTTAAACCGCAAGGATTTTTTTCAGCCATATGCACTTACTTCTGCTTTTTTACGAGCTTCCATAGCTTTCATAAGCATCATGTGTTGTCGTCTTCTCTCTCTTTCCTAATAGAGCAGATAAAATTAGGAAAAAACCTCAACCACAGTTAGCAATATGATTTGTAATTTTAAACTTGGTAAAGCATGTTTAGCATTAATAGACAAGTCATGGTAAATACTAAATAGAAGACAAGAATGGCCAAGTCTGTGCATGTTTTAGTTCAGGTTTAGAAAGCAAATACAAGAACAATCAAAAGCAAAAAGGTAAAGCAATGAACATGGAGACAGTGTAAAACATAAGCATACAGGATTTACTTATGGTCAGTTGTGATGCTCCTTCCAAAGCTGGCAGAACGAAAAGCATAATGGTTGGCTGGAACAGGTCAGTTACCTTACATCTGCTATTCGAAAGCCTGCAGGTACTTACATATTGCCAATTAAACAGAAGGCTGGACTTCTGGTCATTTTTGAGAGCAGACATAAGATGATATGTGATCATTTCAATTTTGTGGTTTTAAAGAGATGATAATTTTCTATGAGTAGCAAAATCTAATTTGTAAAGCCAATAAGGCACTAAACAAATTAGAATGCTGAATTTTCTCAGTTTTTATAGCAATTTAATTACGCTAGTCACAGTTTATACACAAACATGAATGGAAGAGGATTTTCTTATTTACTGATGTCTCTCCCTTGGTGCACTACATAAGGTGACAAATGCTGCACCAGGGGCTTTGTTAGTAATTATTAAGTGGAACCTGAGCTACATGTAATAAAATATTAAAATGAAGTTTGCCCCAGTTTAATTTGAAAATCTGGTTTTATTTTCAGATCAAAATGTTATACATTTTATAGTAGCTAATAAAAAATTTTATCCAAAATTTAAACTCCCTCCCCACAGAAGGGATATATTTCATATAACTTAGCTAAACAAATTTATCTGCAAAATTAGGTCTTAGAAGTAATGTAAATTTCATAACCTCCCATCAAGCTGTATTCAAAATTCCCATTGCTTTTAATGGCAGTTTTGCATCTAGGATGATGGAAGAATATGGTTCACAGTAACTGAATACCTAATTTTACAAGTGGTCCAACTTGATATAGTGACATCAGTAATATAGATTTCTCATAAGCAGCCTTATAAATGGATTCAATTTAAAAACATTTGAGACAAGTCATACTTTCTTTATAGACAGACAAGCAGATGTATGCAATGCACTGTGCTGTAAAGCCATGCAGCAGTATGTAATATGACAGCAGCCAGTGCTACACTTTATGCATTGCTATGACAACCATATCACAACCAAATCACAATGCGGTGTTAGATGTACAAAAATAAACATACCCATACCATATCTAGTCTATGCCTCTCCAACTCCTGGTAGAAAGAGTTGGCACAACATTATGAAACAGAAATCACAAAGTCATAAAACCACTTTATAATTCCCAAAAGACCCCAATACCAAAGCAGGCAATACACTGTAAGATAAAGAAAAAAAAACTTAAGCAGGAATCTTATCAGAAATTTTTAAAGAAAATATTTTGAAGATTTTTCCCCAAATAGCTCAAGAAGTAGTTAAAAATTAGAATTTGCAACAGTTGAGCTAACTGCACGTATACAGACCTGATGCTTCAAAAGAACAGCTTGTTGTCTTCTCATTTCTTTTTCCTTAAAAATAAGAAAAAAAAGTGTAATATGCAAGTGTTACCCAGAAGATTTTAGAAAGCACTGAAAGCAGTATTATGTCTGACTTCTCTCACTTGAATCAAAATTGTATGACCTAGTAAAAGAGTCATTAATGGCCCTTATTACCCTGCAGTTAGATGACATGTCCTGATCTAATCCTCAATAGCATATTTACTAAAGGAACTTGCCAGAATGTCAGGACATTTCATATACAGCTCTTTGGCAGTACTGAAAGTATCAGTCATATTCTTTAACAAGGCGATAAGTAAAACACCTGTTAGGGGCCAGGATTCAAATCTGGGTCTATTCAAAATAATGAAGGCTCTTTACTCTTTGACAGACTGAGATCAAAACAAATGTGATCAGTAGCATTAATTTTAATCTCCGAACATATTGATACTAAAAGAGTTTCCAGTGTTAGCTGTTTAAAATGAGATGCACATAGGATCACAGGCTCTTGGGCTAGAAGGGAACTCCTCTGTAATTTAGTCTGTCCCCTTTCATTTTACAGGAAAGGCAGCTGATTTCCCAAGAGATAAATGACTTGCCCAAGGTGACACAAAGTAGTAAGAAGCAGAGTCAGTGGAAACTGGGTTCTCTGATGCCAAAGCCACTGCTCTTCCCATTCTACTCCCCTTTCAGAGGTCACAGTGAGCTACAGAGCGGGCTCCAACCCATGTTCCCAAAATTTTTTATTGTGTTGAAATTAGGTAAAAGGAAAGAACAGAGCAACATAAGGGAAAAAGTCGGAAAGTAACATGTAAAAGAGGAGAAAGGTAGTACCATTCACTTCTTTCTAGTGACAGTGGCCAGTATATACAGGCTGATCATAAAAGTACATAGGAACTTGAGAGTTTTGTTTTGTTTTGTTTTGTTTTTTAGCACCAGTTGGTAGAACTACCACTTCTTCCCTTCTATGTTTGGCTTCCTGCTAGAGTCACTCTCCTACTACTAGTAGGAGCACCATTTTGTAAGATCTCCAAATTGACATTCATCAAACCCCATAGGCAACTATTTCTCCCTGATACATACAACTCATCATGCAAATATAACCAAACAGTCCAAGTACATAAACAGGTGATAACAATTCCTAATTAATAACTGCTGTTATCAATAGCTTGGTGCACTGTCAAAGAAATATTAAAAACTCACATTTATATAGTGCTTTAAGGTTTACAAAGCACTATCATAACAACTCTGGGAAACAGGTAACGCCTTAGTTATTATGTATGTCCTTTTTACATATGAGAAAGATTAGGCTCAGATAGGTTAAATGATTTGCCCTTGGACACATATCTAGTGACTGTCAGAACCCTGATTTGAACCTGGGTTACCTAACTCTTTCCCAGGATTTTTTAAACTACCCTGTGGGGATATAGGTAAGTTATTTTAAGTAAATGTTGGTCAAGATTTTAGTTTGTTCCTGGTTTGGTCACAAAGACATAAAGAACACTAATAAGTGAAGGGAAAAGCAAGACAGGGTGGCAGTAGGGGACAGAATGTAACATACAATGCAGTAAAGAAAATGAAATTTGGGGGGCACTTAGCCCAAATAAAATTGTTCACAGGTTTATTATGATAGTTTATATTGAAAATAAATGTCTACTTTTGCTCAAACCAAGCATCAGACAAAGCACGTACAACAAAAACATTTATGTTACTATAAGCAGAAACATACATATAATCCACACATTATAGGTTTGCTAAACATTTTCAGAGAATTTTGAGAAGTATAATTCTCATAAATTTACACAGCATAGACAATCACATGGTTTTTATTTTTCAAAAAATAAAAACTCTGATGCTCAGCTAAACTAACCTTTATTCGTTTCTCGGCCTCCAATAATTTGGCATTTGCCGCTTCTTCCTTCTTTTTCTTTTTAGCCTGTGCATGCAAAACAGGTCTCAAAGTCATGCAACAGCACCACTATAACTTGAAAATAATCTTAGAATTGAAAGGAAGCTATATGCCTCACAAGGTGCAAAACAATACATGACACATGATATTATAACATAGTTCGTCACCGATATATATTGGAAATATTTGTTTCAACTTGTAATTTGGAATTTACACATTTAAAATGTATTTCCTCCAGTAAACTGTGGCACAGAAACAATCTTGTGATCTCTAAGACCATGTGAGTGGAGTGAAAGCTTTGGCAGGTTCTACTAAGTTGGCAAGACTTCAAGGATAAGCACCATACTCTATGGCTATCTTCTGATGACCAACTTCATGAAGTCTAGAGATAATTTTTTTCTAAAGAAACCTATGAAACAGGTAGTAAGTGGTGGAGAAGGCTGAAATCTGCATTGAGTTAACTTATATAAAACACTTCGCAAACCTTAAGGCACTATATAAATGTCATCTTTTATTATGTTTTTGGAAAATAAGTATCACATGAACAAAATTATAGTTCCTTTATGTAACAAAGTATATTTATTTTATTTGGAGCCATAAAGTAAAGAATGAAAATGTACCCAAAATTCTTAAAGCCAAAATTTCTAAATTAAGAGTATAAAAGCTTTTTAATATATCTAGTCAAGATTAAAAATTTTATAATTTATGTTGTTTTTAAGTATAAAAAAAGTAATAACCCAATGTATGTAGATAATGCATATAAAGAGCTTTGCAAGTCTTAAATTACTATATAAAGTGTGCTGATATCATCATTATAATTGGGAATTTTCCATTTACTTGGATTTGAATATTTAGCATTATCCATTTGATATATTATAACATCTATGGAATTAAAATCTGAAATGAATATCTGAAACTGAAAACATAATTTTAAAGTTTCCTATACCTGAGATAAGGTTAAGTTATAAAAAGCTTTTCCATTTTACAGAAACTGTTAAATTTCTTTAAACATGCAGTTTTGGTTATCAAGATTATGTCAACAACAGCTTTAAACTCAAATTTTAAAATATACACTATTTTCAACTCATCAGTGTTTCAAAAATAATTGCTAAGTTAGAAGTAAACTAGACTATGTAGTTACACAAATATGGACTAAATTGATATTTCTAAATAAAAATGTGTAATAGAATTAAACTTTGCTATTTGTGACATTCTGGAAAAATGAGTCATTCTAGATGGCTGAGTTTTGTTGAGGGTTTACCCTTTGGACGTTACAACTTGTTTTATTTTAATCACTTTGAAAGGAAACCTCTCCTAAATGCATTATATATGTCCCCTTCCCTCCAAAACTGAGGACAGTATCATTTAGCCTTTTCTTAGGGACTCATACTTAATATTATGACTATCAATGAGGAAATTTACTATAGCATTGTAGGCACTCATAGCCAGTTTTGGTTGTTTGGACTGTTTTGTTTCTGGTTTTTTTTTCTTTCCTTAAAGTAAATGGCCCCCAATGCTATCCTTTTTGAGTACTTGCACATTTATTTTTTCTTTTTCTTTTCTTTTTTTTTTAAGCACTTTTATGTCCTTACTCCTTGTTGTCAGCTGTCAGTTTTCACTGTTGTCAGTGTGATTGACTAACAACCCATCTCCAACATCAGGTTAATTACTTTTAACTGTCTCTGTGCTTCCTGAAGATCAGATAAACAGACTTATTACTGGTATTATTTGTATTTTTGAAATAAGAAGTAAGTAGATTTTAATTATGTTACTGAGGGACTTCCATATTGAGTACAAAACGTATGAACTTTGGTGTCTTTTATTTCAGCTGCTCAAAAGTCTTTCATGTTTGTTTCTTCATTGGGGGGGGGGGTAGGCAAGGAGGTTAAGTGACTTGCCCAGGGTCACACAGCTAATGTTATGTGTCTGAGGGTCACATTTGAACTCAGGTCCTCCTGAGTCCAGGGCCGGTGTTGTATCCACTGTGCCACTTAGCTGCCCTTTGTTTCTTCATTCTTGACCATGATCTGTGTGGATGAGGTTGACTTATGAGATGTTAATATATGTGAATAGAAGCTTAAGAGCATTTTGAAGGACAGACTGACTTGGACTTTTGACAAAACATGCAACTGTGATGTTTGTTCATAAAAACTTTGAAAAGTATGAATAAGTTCTTAATTGTATTAAATCTAAAAGTTCTACCTCTAGAATTTGCTGGGCTCGAAGTTCTTTTTCCATTCTGATTTGCTGTATTCTCTTAATTTTCTCCTGTAGGGAATTTTTCAAATATTTAAGATATTAAAATGACATTAAAATCAACAAAAAAAATTGTTTAGACAGAGTAATCCATGTTTAAAAAGATTTTAAAGTCCACACTGTTTCAAAAATAGCTTAAGTAGATGGAAAAATATACATTTTAACTATATACACTTCAATCCACATACAATTCCACATTTTACACTACTAAAAGATGGTTTTTTCCAAAATTCTTTATATAATGTAAACACCTAATTATCTGCATAAAATTTAATGAAAAAGTAAATTACAAAAACATTTATTGAGAGCCTACTACATGCAAGGCACTATTCAATCAATCCATATATCAATTAACAACCATTTATTAAGCACCTACTATGTCAAAGGCACTGGGGATACAAGGACAAAAATGTAACAGTCCCTGCTATTCAAGGTGCTTTAGAGAACACAAAAAGGAAGCAGTCATGGCCCCTGCCTTCAAGGAACTTATAATCTAGTAGGGGAAATAAAACATATAAAGAAATAAATACATAAGACCAAATGCAGTAAGTACCAGAAGAAACATACAAGCAAAGTACTACACATAGTTGACAATTCTTTGTAAGTACATGCAGTAATAAGAAAGATAAAAGTAAAAGAGAGACAACAAGGAATAATACAAAGAGGAATACACCATGTATCAGGAAAGCTTAGTTCCCTTCCTGGATATGATATTAACAGTGTAACCTTCATCAAGTAAATTCTCTAGACCTTAGTTTTCTCATCTGTAAAATAACGCCTACCCTGTTTCACTGGGATGTTGTGAGGATCAAATCAAAAATATTTTTAAAAGTATAAAGCTCTGTACAAATAGAAGGGACTAGTAAAGATAATTTCCACAAAATTTGTTTTCACTTGATAAATAAAATGTCTTTAAATGTAATTACTGATCATTAACCAATTTCTGAAACAAGTGAGTAACCATAACTGAAGATTCATTAAACAGAAACTAATTTTCTATGAAAATGTACATACCTTAAATTAGTATGTTTAAATCCTATATTAATCATATTGTTTATTACATTTATTTTGTTATTAAATTATAAAGACTTTCTATTTGAGGATTTAAAGGAATACAAATTAAATTATATATATATATACATATATATGTATATGAAATTATCTAATAAGCAAAAAGATGTAGGAAATTCTACCACTGGCCTTAGAATTTTAATTCTGAATAAACACCCATTTATATGCTAATATTCCACAAGGAAAAAGACAGATAAGAATTAAATACGAAACTCATTGGTCTGGGAAGATTAGCGTCCAAAAAGGACCGATCTCATTTGCGTGTGTATCATCATATTTCTGGTTTGAAGATGACTTTATTAAGGGTCATCACTATTGGAACATAAAATGACAGATGCACCTCTAGCAGTCCTTCCAGTCTGTATACCTGGTTTGTGACTCTAACATCAGTTTGTACATATGAAACTTTGTCTCCTGTTCTATCGAGACCATTTTACCATCCACTGTTGTTGTTTCTTTGTTTATTTTTAATTGTGTTTTTTTTTGTTTTGTTTTAGCAAGGCATATGTATGTTGTATATTTTGAAACCATGCTTCTATGTGACTTTGCCTGATCCACTTCTGGTTTCTTCATTATACTCACGTAGTAATTATCATGTTACATGACTGTATTTTGTTTTCTTTCTTTCTTTCTTTTTTCTTTTTTTTAGGCAGTTGGGGTTAAGTGACTTGCCCAGGGTCACACAGCTAGTAAGTGTCAAGTGTTTGGTCCGAGGCCGGATTTGAACTCAGGTCCTCCTGACTTCAGGGCCTGTGCTCTATCCACTGCACCACCTAGCTGCCCCTATATTTTGTTTTCTGCACAAATCTAGAAGAGTAGATTTGTATTTCACCAATTAACCGTTAGAAGCAGACAGAATGACTACATCCCAAGATTTTAGTGTGGTGATCCTAAACCTTGTTCAAGGTCATGGCTTCTAGATATAAAGAATTTGTGTCTGGATAGGTAAAGACTCTCTGGTCTACATCTGCCACAATGCTTTGCCACACCAAGCATTAGAACACTCATTGACTAGGAAGAGATGCCAAATATCACATCTCAGAGGCTTTGAATGGGTGTGCAATGTGGGGAATTCTTAGGACAGGTTTTAAGTTTTATTGACACCTTTTATTTTTATATCAAAGTCATTTCCTGATATAATTCCTCCCCAATTAACCCTTACTTGCAATAAAGAAAAGCAGTAAAGAAAAATTGACAAACACAGTAATATTCTTGACTGTACAGACAACATTTTATAGCTATAGTACCTCACTTCTCTCTTAGGAAGGTGTATTTGATCATCCATTCTCTGGGATCAATATTGGTCATTCTAATTAGAGTTCAATCACCTTTCCGTGTTATCATTTACATTATTATAGTTCTTGTAATTACTTCTGTTATCAGTTAATAGCAGTCATCCCATAATTCTCTGAATTTCTTATATTGTTCCATATTGTATAATTTATATGCCAAGATTCGTGTAATCATTTACCCATCAAAGGGGACCCACTTTATTTCTAACTTTTGCTACTACAAAATAACAACCAAACAAACCAAAAAACAGTTCTATGAATATTTAGGTATGGATAGGGCTTTTCCTTGTGTCTTTTATCTCCTTGAGGTATATATCCAGAAATGGAATTGAGTGAAGGATTTTTTTTTTTTTAAAGAGAGCTATGAAGAGGCCAGAAGGTAATAGCTACTGCACTTACCATTCAAGGGGACTAGTACTCACAGCAGAAAGAGCAATAGCACCTAGTGGCAAGATGTGGTATTTGTATTACTTTCCTTTCAAGCAAGTCTAGAGAGGAGATGTCAAACTCAAATAGAAATAGATTGCTGCTGGCCCATATTAACATTATCTCTGTTGTAATGCATTTGCATTTCTTTTATTAAAATATTTACCAATTACATTTTAGTCTAGTTCGGATTGAACTACAAGTTTGACACCTCTAGACTAGACCATGCCAGTGTGGTGCCTCCCTGGGCAGTAGGAAGCTTTTGCCTTCAGATGGATTGTGAGCCTGAGAAAACACCCTGACTACTTCAATCCTTCACATTTCTAAGATTTCTCAATATTTCTTACTACCCCTCAAGAGCAATTAATCAATCCCCACAGCCCCAAATCCCCCACTAGCTGTATTATGCCATGCTGTTTAAGTAAGTGACTTTTGTTTTGAACTAATGTGTCATTTGTTTGGTCAAGTACAAGAAAACACTGGAGGTTAATTTACACGCTATGATTTCGAGTAAAGGCTGAACCAAAGAGTGCCTTGAACTTTTTCTGGCTTTCACAGAACCTATCACTGAGGGCTCAGGCTACATGGGTGATACCAATTAAACTGATCAAGAAGCCAATTAGGAATTCCATGGGAGGTTCAAGCTTTAATCTTATAGCATATTAAGTAAGACCACAATTCAGGTTGGAACATGATCCCAGGGTAATACCAAACTGCCTACCAGCTTCTCTAAGGAAAACAGGCAGCTAATAAAGCAAAATCCACTAACACTTTTAAGTTCTGTAATGTGAATGACAAAAAGTACTGGTTATATACAGGTTTCCTATTGGCAGGTGGGGAAGTTAGGGACCTAACTTCAGGTTTCTCATTAGTTCAGAACCAGTTCAGTTTTAACTGCCCAAAATGGTTCACAATTATTTGCAGGGTTGATACAATAGCCCTATTATGAAAGGACTTCTGGTGATAGCCACCATTTGCATTTTATATTCCAGCAAGATAGAACTATGAGCTATTTCGCAAACTTGATATTCTATGCCCCACCCATTCTCACAAACTATCCCTTATGCTTCTTTAGTCCTCATCTTCTTTCAAGCCTGGGTTCAGATGCCAGCTACTCTGTGAAGTCTTTCTTAATACCTCTTATTTTGCACTGTTTTCCCAATTTCCTCAAAATATTTTGTATTTACTTATCTTCATACAGGTTGTTTCAATGAACAAAAAAAAGCAGTATAAAATGTGTCATCATCGAGACATATGAACTAAGAGGGAAGTGGACTAGTCATATAGAAAAACAAGGGAGGGGAGGGAAATGATAAAGGAAAGAATGAAAAATCTGATGTATGGCAATCACACTCCCTAATAAAAGGGAGATTGGAGAGTGTTTCATACAATCCCTGTTAATTATAATATTTTGCTTACACAAGCTTAGTTTAAAAGTTATCTAGTTACACAGAAAGGATATTACAGGAAGACAGAACTCCAAATGTGCTAAAGAGAAAGTCTTTTTTTGTTTTTTAAGCATAGAGCATTTTCTATTGTTAATGGCTTTTAGGTAACTCTAAAGGCACTTAGGAAATGAGACCAAAGCAAAAGATTTGACAATGATTTATACTCCTATGTTTTTAAAATTTAGCTTTTCTTAATATCTTACAAGATATAGGAATCCCAGGGGAGATTCAAGACCACAATTCAGGTTGGAATATGATGCCAAGGTAATACCAAACTGCCTACCAGCTTCTCTAAGGAAAACAGGCATCTAATAAAGCAAAATTCACTAACACTTTTAAGTTCTGTAATATGAATGACAAAAAATTTTCACGTAAAACTTAAGTGATAAAAACAAAGCTAAAATAGAGTTATAAAAAAGCCGTCTGTTAGATCATCAATTAAAACATTTTGGAAGCTGATGCAAATCACATATCTCATAAGTTGCTACATCTAATTTTTTCTTCTACATGAAAGAATATTACTCTACATTCAAGATTTGAATACATACTCAAAATTCAGTTAAATGTTAAACAGCTTTTAAATTAACATTTATTCTTAAATAATCACAGTTGCAAACTTATGTCTCTCTTGTTTATCTGCAACTATTTCTAAGAAATCAAATAAATATAAGTACTGGCCTTCCAAAAAGGAAGTAAAATTTGCTTAAAGAAATAAAAGGGTCCATATGTACATAATATTACGTAAAACATTATTCTTAGAAGTAGTTATTTATGAAACTTAAATGAAAAATAGTACAAACACAGAATCAAAAACATGGCCTTCATTATGGAAAATCAATTGGGTGTCCAAACATACCTGCTGTTTCATTATCTTTATCTGTTCCTTTTGTTTTCGTTTCTCTTCAGCGGCCATTATTGCTATGAGAAACAAAAAATCCAAGGGTAGATGTCATCCAAAACGGAATAAGGAATCAAACCCTGCTATTAAGAATTTCAATACTGACAACTACATAAATTCATAATTTTTTAGATTGATCAGTTACCTTGTTGCTTCTTTGCTTCTTTGGCAACTCGAGCCTGTTCTTGCTTCTGAAGTTTCCTCAAAAGCTTTATTTGTGCAGCTTGTCTTGCTATTTCTGAAAGATACAAAAAGGCAGAGCATATAAATAATAGTTTCATACCATACCTAATTTAAAAGGTTTCAAATAATTTTGCTTTTAATAAGGAGTGTTTAATGAAAATGTCCAAATTCGTTTTGCACATCTAAAATGACTTTTTTTTTTACACACTGAAATCGTATCTCTCTTATTTTTGTGTTTGACAGGAAAAAATGTACTCTCTAACAATAATGTGACAATAAATATTTTAGAAATAGCATCCAGTTTACAGCAACAAAGAAATTAAATATTTGGGGATTAATTTACCTTGACATACACATAACCTTTATAAAACTGATGGAAATAAAGGAAGACCTAAATAATTGGAAGGTCATTCAGTGTTCATGAACAAGCTAAGATTAACGTAGTAAAGATGACAGTGTTCTCAAAAACTTAATTTATAGACAACAGAATGGCAATTACAATACCAATGAGTTTCTTTATAGATCTGGATAAAACCATAACACAATTTATATGTAGAAAGAAACAGGCAAGAAAATCAAGGGAGACTTTAAAAAAAAGGGTGATTAAAGTAGACTGGCATTTTCAGAATTTAAAAGTAAATATTTTACATGGAAACTATCTGTCATTGGGGAAAAACAGAAAAGAGATCAATGACACATAATAGATCCTAGAAATATAACCAAATGCAGACAAATGATTGTTTGAAAAAAATGTAGGAAAAAAAGATTTTTTTAAAATTAGGAAAAGTGGTTAGCAATACAGTAGTAGATAAATTTAGATTTATGTTGTAATACATGCTACATAAATTTCAGCTGGATCACAGATGTAAATATAAAAACTATAATAAGATAGAAAAAGAATAACATTTATCTTAATTGTGACATAAAGATAAACTTTTTCTATTACAGCACATTTATCTCGTCCATGATGATTTAGAAGAAATTATATAAATATAGATGGGTTGCTTATGTATTAAAAAAGGAAATTAGTAGAGGCAATGTTGATATACTTGGTTACATACAAACAAAGCATTAAATAATATAGCAAAGAAAGATAAAAAAGAAAAAAAGAACAGATTGGTAAAGCATTTGTTGCAAATTACAGGAATCGGGCTGGATCTGTGATTTGATTGATTGGTATAGGGAACTACCTCTACCAAAGCAGAAATGCACATTCTCAGAAATTTATAGTCTTAAGAGAGTTGTCTAAGGCACTGAGAGGGATTGACTTGATCTTGGTTATACAATCAGTATGTATGTCAGAGAAAGGAATTCAATTCTGTTCTTCAGGTGTCTGAGAACAGTTCTGTATCCACAATTATGCCATGCTGTCTCTCTATGGCAAATATAACAGATAAAAATTTAACATCTTAAAAATGATTTTAAAACATTAATAATAAAAAAGGCAATTTTAAGGTCATCTCAAATTTGAAAAAAAATAATTTAAGTGAAAAATCAATGCTGGCATGGCAAAGAATAAATGTTAATATACTGTAGAAAGAATTTCAAATGAATGGAAATGAAGTATACTGAAGAAGTTACCAAAAAATCATACTCATGCAGGTCCAAAGCAAGGAATTAGCCTGGAATGAAAAAGCCCTAAAAGACTGGTTCAGGGAAGGAGAATTCCAAACCATATGAGCCAAGTTCAAGGGGTAGAAAATGGCTCTCACCTGGGCCAGCTCTCATACTCCTTGAATTGAGAACTGGATGTAGTCATGCACCAAAGTGGATTGGAATGCGCATTTCACATCCTGGCGGCTTATGAAGGCCCTGGCTCTTGATTTGAAGGTGCATCTATTCAAGCTCACTGTGCCAGAGCTCAGTTGACCCCTAAGAAAGGGGCAAGGCAAGTGAGTGGGTGGAGTTTCTGTTTGTATTGTGGTTAGGTTAGCCTAATCACCACCAGGACAACTGCAGCACCCACAGCTTACAAAGGGATGAAATGAGAAGGTTCCATAGTGGAAAAATACAGGGTTAATATCATTCCCCACTCAGTCTTAGCCTGGTAGAACAATTCTTTTCATTCCAATGATCATCAGAGTAAAAATGACAATTTTCTTGTGGCAAAGAGATTAATTTCTGAGGGGTGGGGTAACAATGTTGGAAGCTAGATATAATTCTATCACAAGGAACACTAAAGAACATATTGGTCTTAACATGGTTTTTGCCAAATACTGCTGATAGCTCATTCTTGAGTTCTCCTTGACTTTTCCTTTCACCAATGTGAAAGAAAAACCTAAGAATTTCTAGGAATTCCTCCCATAACATAAGGGGCATATCTTTCAAAATTTTTATTGATGTAATATTTTTATGTCAATATATATCTCTTCCCTCCATCCAGTGAGCCATCCCTTGCAACAAAAATTTTAAAAAAAGTCCAGCAAAAGCAACCAACACATTCACTCTAACATTATATGAAAGATTCTACCCTCACAGACTCCCATTTCTACAAAGGAAGGGAAGCATATTTTCTCGTGTTCTCCAGAAGCATTCTTTTTAGTCATTATAATTATACAGCATTCAGTTTCATTTTTTGTGTTCTGTCCAATTACATTATTATAGTCATTACATATATTATTTTCCTAGTTCTGCTTACTTTACTCTGCATTAGTGCACAGAGCTCTTCCTGTGTTTATGTTTCTCTTAATTCATTATATTCATCCCATCTACATGGTACAATAATATTCCAATTGATTCGTGTACCATAAGAGATTCTAGTAGGTCTAGATTCATACATCTACTTCGAGTCTTTTATCACATCCAAAAAGTGCTGTTATTAATATTTTGATGTATAACAGTCCTCTATTTCTGTCTTAGTCTTCCTTAAGGTATATGTCTAACAATATAATTTCTGGGTCAAAGGGAAGGGTCACTTTAATTGCTTTTTAAAAAAAGTTCAATCCCAAACTGCCCTCCAAAATCATTGGAACAATTCACTGCTCCAATAACAGTGAGTATATTAGTGTGCCTGTCCCTTCACAGTCAGATGCTCCAACACAGACTATTTCCTACTTTTCACATCTTTGCAAATTTTTTAAGTGTGAAATAAAATCTAATGGTTAGTTTGACTTGTGTTTTTCTTATGATTAGTAATTTGGAGCAATGATTCATATGGCAATTGTTTGTTTATATTCTTTGACTACTGGGGCGTGGCTCCTGGTTTCTTTTAATTCTCTATTATGTCATCGCTATCAGACCCTTATCAGAGATATTTAATGCACACTTTTTTTTCCAGTAGTTTTTCCTTCTTATCCTAGCTGCATTTTTTTGTTTGTGCAATACATTTCAATTTCACATAAATGAAATTATCTATTTTATTTTTGGTGTCACTTGTTTAGTTTAAAATTCTCTCCCTAGTCAGAGCTATGAAAGGTACTTTATTTCATTCTCTTCTACCTTTTTATGGTGTGACTTTTCCAATTTAGGCAGTCATGTTGAGTTCTTTAGGGTATATGGTATAAGTCATAGGATGTCAATTAAACCTGATTATTGTCAAACTGCTCTCCAGTTTTAAAACCTACCAAAGTGTTCCTGCTCTCAAAGAGTTTAGTCTAACGAGGGAGACAACAGGAAAACAATTATTTTCAAACAAAATATATACTGGAAGAAACATATTCAAGATCACTGTACCCAGAATAAATTGGGGATAATAAACAAGCATTAAGAAGAATTGGGAAAGGCTTCTTGTAGGAGGTGGGATTTTAGCTGTGACATAAAGGTAACCAGGTAAGCCAGGAGGCAATGGTGAAGAGGGAGAGAATTCCAGGAATGGAGGAACTTTAGCTCAAGAAATTCCTAATAAAAAGAGTTATCCAAAGGTGGAAAGGATTGAGTGGGTTCCCCTTACTAGAGGTAGTCTAGCAAAAGCTGGATGACTTTTTGCCAGAGCATGAGGAGAGGGATTTCCAATTCAAATACTGGTTGGACTGTATGTCTTATAGATTCCTTCAAATTGTGAGATTCTGTGGTTCTACCTCTAATCTTACCACCACCACCCTACCCCTAAAACCCAAATCAATCCATGCTCTGATCTACTGCACTTCTGAGCTTCCTTATCCTGAAAGCTTATGGCTACAAAGTGTAGCTACAGTCTGAAAGGAGATACTGTAAATAACAATGGCTTTTCAAAAACTGGAACGACCAGCTGGAGGGAGATCCATATCCCAGCACTGTACAACCAGATTACTAACTTGGGGACAGTACCATATCTGAATCAGTGACAAGTTAGGTGAGCCATGGTCTCAAGTTGCATTATTTATAGATGTATAGCATTCTAACTATCCTCCCCCCAGCAACTATGTGATCAGAGAATTTCAGGTAGCCAGACTTGGCTGTAAGGGATCAAGAGCACTTGACAGCCACTGTAAACACATGATTCATTCACACAAGGCTCTGTAAATGGAATCATTCACTTCCTAGAGGGGAAATTCATATTTGATGAAGTACTCATGTACTTTCCCTACCTATTTGTGCCTTTGCAGGAAAGCACAGAAGAGTCTCTTCCACAACAGGTTGGTTGTGGGTCACTGAAGACTATGACCGTTTACCTGGTCTCCCAGGTGACCCTTGACCTAGGGTCTTCTAGTTAACCTTGTCCTGGTATGACATCAGCCAATACATACAGGCCTATGTGCTGAGATCAAGGACAGGATAGGGAGTTTGTGGGTTCTTGCATTTTCTCCCTTTCATGAAGCACTTTGACAGAAATATCCCTAGACTTTTCTAGAGATCTATTCCTATCCACGGGCAGTGATTTCATGGTAATAATGGATATTCTCAAATAGAATGTTTCAGTTCCTCTACTATAATAGACTTCCCACAACCAATGAAACTGCCCATCTATTCTTTTAGGGCATTTTTATATTTCCACAGCTTTCCACAGCATTTTATCTCTGACAAAAAAACAATCATTATTTTGTTTCTGGATGGTACTGATCACCGCTACGTCGATGAAGGTATCAATCACATACCACCTCTTAGCCAAATGTCTGCATGAAAAAAGACAAATCAGAT